GAACAACTTGAACTTGTCACTGACACTGGCAGCAAGTCAATGGCCGCGTGTGTGCTGTAGCTGCAGGTGCCGACTTGTTCTTGCTGCCAGTGCCAGGGGTAGGGTAGAGGCAGGGCAGCTACTACTAGCCCTGGCTCATGTTGACATATTTGTTACCAACGTCTTTAAACTAATAAATAAATAAATAAAAATAATATAATACAAACGTGTTGTTGCCAAACGGAACTGCGAACCTAGTGCCACCGGATATTGACACGGCACGTAAGAGTCGCTTCAAGCGGACAACGAGAATTTTATATTTATTTTTTGTTCATTTATCCGTCGTGAAGGCATCTCAGAAAATATTAAAATCGCAAACAAATATATGTTTTACTGATTCTGTAATAAGTGAAGACTTACAGAGTTAAAACAGTAAAATATGCATTCATTGTATCGTGATCGTTCTTCTTCTACTTCTATACTGGACAGTCCCTAAGGAATAAACGTCCAGGGCTATAGCTAGCCATGGTGTGTGTGACCAAGCTTGGGTACGTTGTCGTTGTCGCCATCAGTAATCGTGGTGTAATGATGACTAGTGTAGCTCAGGCGTAAGTGAGTGGCGGCACCAAGGGGGGGCCTGGGGGGGGAATGCTCACCCCGTCAAAGGCTTTGCCCCACAGTTGCCCCCCAGTCAGCTCCTGTACACAGTTCACAGGAGCAATTAATGACAATATTAATTCTACTCCATAGGCTCGAAATGGTGCCTTTCAATCTTTGGGTCTAGTCTATGTAATTTGAATTCTTATTGAGTGGCAGACCTCCCGAGTCCCAACCCTTCCGATTTTTGCGGAAAATTTCCGCTTTCTTATTCCATTTCCGCCACTACGATTTTTCCCTTTATTTTTTAACGAAACAGCAATTTCCGTAGATAACCTTTATTTACAACACTAGCGGACTACAGTAAAATTAGAAGTTTGGATATGAATCAGAAGTGCTCTACAAGCGTGTTTATTTCTCTGTTTAAGGCATACAGAGGCTTGATTTTTCATTCTTTGGACCCCATCCATTAGTTCTTGCGCTGCGCGCTCACATTAATTTTTACACATGGCAACTGTGTATAGCTCACCATCAGAAATAAACGGTACGTTTAGAAACAGATCGACAAAATAAACGATTGCGCCTCAGACCATATAATAATGAGCTTCAGCGCGAAATTGCGTCCGGTCGCGTTATCACTGGTTAGCACGTTGTTTATTTTGGTTGGCATCATCAGTGGCATTTGCAATCTCATGTACGCTCCTATGCAGCTATCATTGGTGGTTACAGATTATGATAGAGCGCCCGTTGTCGATGTTCGGTTGAGGCCTCGCTGCAGCGTGAATTATGGGATTCATATCTATCCAACATATCATCGCCACAATACGATATTAGTAAAGGTCCGTATTTCATATATGTCGAAATAAATTATATATCACGCCCACGATAATATACTAGCGTGACTTTATATGCTAATGGTAAATTTCGGCGTGCGATACCGTGTATCGCGCTAGCTGTTTGTGCGTACTATAGGCACAAAGCCGAAGTATAAGCCCAACTCAATGCAACGACCCCTGGCCATCAATCAGCCGTAGTTTACATACACATCGTGTACCGTAATCGTTGTATATCATGGCTGTCATTATTATGCGCTGATGACAACACGCTAACGACGCAGACAGCAAACGTAAATAACTAGATGTAGCTGCGCTGCAATAATATATCCGCATCTCCGCGGATGCCCATGTACGCAGGGGGAAGGGGTGCCTGGGTGGGATAGGTATGCGGTGTTTACTATAAACTTGCGCCCGTCCGCGCAATTCAAATTCCGCGTAGCACCGCTAGTAATCGCGCAAACACGCTCTCTGATTTAACATTAGTCTAATATAAACGACGATGGTAAGCCGTCGTTGTTCAGAAAAGTCGACGTAGATGTTACGGATGCGACGGCCCGATAAGGCTCGCACATCGCACTGCCGCCACTAGCCTCCCACTCCCCATCGCGCCACAACGGCGCGAAATTGCCCAGTCCACATGACCAGCAAGCATTTAGGTGCTGCTGCTGCTCCAGCCGCAGACGAGCGCGCGGCTTCAGTGGCGGCGCGAGGCGGCGTGCAACTTTTAATTGCGATTCTACGGCGCACCGATGCGCATCGGACCTACGTTCGCTAATGGAAAAGCTTGATTAATTTACCGTGTTGCGTTTTTAGGAGCTAGTCTTTCAACGAAACGCGGTACGTGTCTCTCTCGTGGCTTGACTACATAGACATCTCTCACGAGGCAAGCGGCTATCGGCGGTGCCTATTCGTTTACGTCTACGAAAACGTAAGTGGCAGCGACAGCGGTTCCCGAGTTTGACCGATTAATCAAAATTCTGTTGATTTGTGGTGCGACTGTGTGGATATTCTCTACGCGAATCTATAGAGAGATCGCGGGGATTATTTTCGCGTTTTAACTGTGTCATTAATTGCGAGTTTATGTGAGTGATTGGAAAAGCAAAAGACGTGGTTTAATAAGCACTCGGTCGATATGATGGCCAGTGAGAGAGGTGGGTGAGAGAGACTATACGTAGCTGAACTCTACAGCACAGATAACGGTTCTGGATACATTTAGATAAACTTGGATTCGTTATACGTAACAGCATCGAGGGAATGACGTAATTGACGTTTGCATTTTACATTTAGCGTAAGATGCCGAAATGGCCACGCCGCGATAAAACGTAGATGATTATTAGGTTTACAGAAGGCATCTGAACTGAGAGCGTTGAGCCGCGTGACTGAGGATCATGGGGATACGACATATAAAAGCCACACCGTGGTACAATGCTGTATTACTAAGATGTGCGTGTGCGCGCGTGTGCGTGTGTGTATGTGTGTGTGTGTGTGTGTGTGTGTGTGTGTGTGTGTGTTTGTGTACACACGTGCGTACATACACTCATACACGAACGCGCACGCACGCATGCACGTGCGCATCCTCGCACCTAAGCACGCACATACCCACGTACGTACGTACGCACGCACGCACACACCATCACCGAGATTAATATGGTTTAACATTAAAACAAGTTCCCCGTTCATTGCTGCATTGTAATGTGAACCCGTTAACTAGTTTATGTGCTCTTAGGGCTTCAGGATGGGGCTGGTATAATCGGCACGCTCTCGAAAGGTGACCTGAAAATTATTTAACTAGTTTAAAACTACACTATTAGTTAACGCCCTGGCTTGCAACCGACTAGGCCTACATTAACAGCAAAAATGACGTGTGCTGGCATGTACAATGACTGCCAACATGAACCTAATTTAACCGATTTCTCTCGCTAAAATTCATCAATAGTGACTTGCGACCGCTAAAGACACCGTCATGCTGACCACATCTAACAGCCTCACCTGCTAACCTTACTTGTATATCCACTGCTCACACGCACTCGCACATTAAATAGTCGCACGGTTTCAAATCGAGTGTCAATTGACGCTCAACCTACCTTCTCAGGCAACAGACAGAACGATTTCCAGGAAGCTAAGAGACCAACCATTTGACGCGTGTCGTCGTCGACTAAGCTGCACAATATAGACATGCGCAGAAGTCTATATCGTTGTTACGTATTCCTCCGCTGTTTACAAGACACGACGTACCTGTCGCCCGACACCTGTAATTTTCTTGTTCATTTACTATAATATATATCAGGAGTAGATAATAGGAAACACGCGATATAACACGGATATAGCACACACGCGCGGACGCACACACACGCACGCACAAGCATGCACACACAGCACCGCACGCACACTGGCACGTACGCACACACGCGCACGTACGCACACACGCGCAGGTACGCACGTACGCGCACGTACGCACACACAGGAACGCACGCACACACGGGAACCCGTACGCACGCACACACACTCACGTACGCACGCGCACGTACGCACGCATACACGCGCACGTACGCACGCACACACGCGCACGCACGCATACAGCAACGCAAGCACAAACGGGAACCCGCGCACACACAGGAACGCACGTACACACAGGAACGCACGTACACACAGGAACGCACGTAGGCCTACACACAGTAACGCATACATAAATGCACACACACGCACGCACGCACATACACACGCACGCAAGCACGCACGCACACACGAACGCATGCACGCACGCGCACACGTACAGGGAGGGAGAGAGAGCATCCAGCGAAGCAGTGAGATTTAATGGACGCAGTAATTATACTTATAGCGGTGCGCATGAGTCACGAGCCGCTTGGACGACGCACCATATGTCTTCCTCAACTATCCACCGACGTAAATGCGCGCAGACGACCTGCTTCATCTCCGAAACGCAAGATGATGAGCAGCAGCGACTATTCCACCCGAACAACCGCGAGGCGACGGTGCTGGGCGGTGGCAAGAAACGATTGCGCGGTGAAACCTATTGAATTGCCGTGAAACGCATATAGCGTTTATTTATCCAGGTTGCGAGCCGTCTCGCGGCAGGCGGCGGGGGGCGGTTTATTTTCGCATTTTCGCAGCGAAGTTACTCTGGACTCCGTGAGAAAACACGGTGTTGCGCTTCGGCGGAAACCATAACACGCGCGCCACACATACGCGAACGTTACGCGCAAGCCAGTTACTGTTGATAATTCCGTCAAGGTCGCACGGGGTCACTCAGCGATCGGATAGCCGGGAAGGCATGGGAAGAAAGCGTGAGGACCTCTGTGAGAAGTCCCGCACTAGAGCGGAGATAATTCCGTGACACGAAACCATGTAGAGTTTCATAGATAGATGCACGGAATAGACTATTTCACAAGGATTCGTCGCCGGTCTGTGTATCTACTGTTTACGCCGGTATTCTAAAATCGCCTAATTTTAGCCAACATTCCATTTTTAGTATGTGGACACACGTAGTGCATGGGGACCATTACTAGATAACATCAGTAAAGAGAAAAGCATTACAACAAGTGCCGCAGTGCGACAGGGCTCATCTGGTGTCTGGTGTTCTGCTGATAAATTCATTTGTGCATAGCAAGACGTCTTATACATAAGTCTTCTTTATTCTTGTTGACTTTCGTAGCCAATTCGAACAAATATATCAGCTACACTTTCGCACCCACCTAATCTCTATGCATTGCAGACACATGTGCATTGCAGGTTGGCAGGCAACAATTATTATTAGAAGCGTGCCAGCCATGGGCTGCCCCGTGTTTTTGCCTACCCACGCGAGCATTCACTGATTCAGCCTTCAGGGTGCTATAGTCAGACTGCTTTAGAAAATAATATGATTTAAGGAGCGTAAACCTTGTTCAACAAACATTTGCCTTTCCAATTCAACTGTGCAACTGTAGCCTCACATTCAGGTATGGGCTCTAATAATAGCAAAAGCAGTTCAGTCCTTTGTTAACCGTCAACAAATCAATGTTTAACCCTCCTCTTGAGGGTCAAAAGGTTATCCGACACTTACGCTTCGCATGTCAGCGGAAAGTGCATTTCATGGTCATTTCAATAAAGCCATAAAAATGGTAGGTCACCGCTGAAACAAAAAAGTTTTTCAATCGCTCCGTCAGACCATGTCCTCAGAAAATGTCTAAAATCTGCCCTGTGCCCCATTGACCTTTGACCTGTGACCTCCAATTTCGGCACAGTGATGGCTTTCCCTACCATGATGCTATACACCGACTATCACGAGCCTAGGTCGAGCCGTTTAGATTGTGCCGCAATTCTGCATTTCCTCCCTATACCTTAAGTTAAAGAGGGAATGTTCCCCCTTCTTTTACACCTCTTGACCTTTGCCCTTTGACCCCCAGCTTCGACATCCCAACTCGTTTTCGGATTACCCCCACACGTCCCGAATATCGTGATCGTACGTCGAGCGGTTAAGATTTGTGCCCAACTGTTGACGCACGGACGCACGAACGGACGTACGCTCATGCGATTCTACAAGCTGCATCTGACTATGTCAGATGAGCTAAAGATGAAACAATGTACCGATGCATAACCCCACGATAGCAGTTCACCAAATCCATTCAATTAATAATGTGCACGTATGTGTATTCGTGTTTCAGATGTGAAGCTCGTTTGGTCGCGCCGGATTATATCCATCAGGGTGCGACACCGACCATGGACTCACGGGACGCCTGGCCGCATAGCTACGTGTCGGCCAGTACAGCGGCAGCAGCTCGCCGTGTGAAGATTCCCACACTGACGTTGTAAAGCGACCGATGAACGTTGGATAAACTATGAACGCTCGATTAAACCAATGGCATTATCGACGAGCGCGCCTTTATTCGATTATGCGATTACACGCAAAGCGCATGATTATTCCGCTTCCACGAATAAGCCTACGTTCGCGTACTTATGCTGCGATTCTTCGTCTGCATCTACTGTAGGGAAACCGCAGCCGCGAAAGTCTCGCGCGCAGAGTTAAATTTCCGAGGAAGCAGCAATGCTGGCGTGAGTGCGCAGATTCCCTCGAGGCAGCCTGCTAGAGAACACTCACCAGTGACCCACAGCACGCGCTGCTCCGCCAAGCTGAAGCAAACAGCTGGTGATTACCGCACGGGCAGCTGGCCAAGCTGACCATTAGTGAGCCGACTGAAGCCACCAGCTGAAACTGTAACGACGGGATATATTTTAAGTCCGATCAACAGATCGCCATGGAGCCCGTGATGATGTTGCTAGTGCTGATCATCGTAGTTACAGCTGTACTCGTGTTTTTTGCCTGTACTTGAGAACACGTGCTTAAATACACTCGCACACACGTGGGTGGCTGATGACGATAGGCAATATCTATGTATGTTCTGTTTAAAAATCCATTTGTATTTGCAGAAGCTGGCACTTACGGCTCTGCAGGGAACAACCTTGTATTAATGTGTGTGGCTCTACATGTGCATACAAAAACCATCAGCCATCAAATTTTTATTTACGTTTGAATTAAAGCGCAATAAATGTAGTTCAGACCAACCTAACAGTCAAAGAAAAACAAAGTGTTTCTATATTTAACTCTCTGTATTAAAATCACTAAAGTGCTAATTATCTCGACAACATACTTGGTTTTGAGAACATCACGTCTCAATGGAAAATTGCACTATTATATTTGTTGTACACATAAATGTATAATGGGAACAATTAACAGAGTGCTATACGTGGAAACAAAATAAAATCGAAGTCAAAATCTTTGGGTGATAATTTACCACTTCTCTGTGCTAAACTAACAACTGACAACTAGAGAAACCAAAAAGTTTCAATGAGACTAAAATAAAAATATGACTAAAAAGTTTTAGCACTGGTGTCTATCAAGTACATGTTTATTAGGGGTGTAACGATTAACCGCGATTCAACTGTATCGCGGCGGTACATCCCGTTCGGTTCGGTTTTTGGTTTTGTTTTTTTTGTTTCGGTTCTCGGTTCGGTTCCGCAAAATACATTCAACCAACTCTCAGTTAGGGGGGCGCACACGGCGAGCAAACAGCTCAGCACTTACGCCAAGCCCCGTCCCTATAAAATAATTCAAAATGGAGGGAAAATTTCCCCATCTTCTCAGCATTTTTACTACTGAAAATAACCGAACCGAATGAACTGAACCGAAAGAGCAAAAACCAAAAACCGAACCGAACCGAACCGAAACAAAATGTATCGTTACACCCCTAATGTTTATAGCACAATTAATACAATACTGTATTTCTTATATTTGTGGGAATGACCAAACTAGAATAAATGCATGGCACGCAAAAACATCATTCCAGAAACATCAAAATAGGTTTGACTAATACATGAAACTCATCAGATGAATTACACATTGAAACATTATTCACCACACCGATCCACGCACACATACACACACGGACACACGGACAGTCCTATCGTACGTCGATGTTACATCAGTTCCTCGGGCCTGGGCCATTCATTCGTATCGCCATCATGCCTGGCATCGATCCCATCGGCCCCATCGGTCCCATCGGCCGCATCCCTCCAGGCCCCAGCAACGGCACAGGGCCGGCGGGCCCCATGCCAATCGGTGCACCCATCGGGCCGCCCATCATCGGGCCGCCTGGTCCCATGCCCATGATGGGCGGGTGCGGCCCGCCCGGTCCTCCTCCCTCAGAGCGCACCTGTCCTATGCTGGGCGGGGGCGGGATCATCGCTCCGCCAGGACCCGGCTGTCCCTGGAATGGATTGCTCTGGATCTTGCCGGCCTTGAAGGCGGCCGTCGTCGCATCAATGAGGCTCTGCGCTTGCTCCTCCATCCAGTTCTGGTAGTAGATGCGCACGTTGTCCTTGTGCTTGCGGCCGCTGCAGTGCGTCTTGCGCACCGACGGCGAGTCGTGCGTCAGGTACGTGTCGCAGTAGTCACAGTAGTACTTTGGCATGTTTACGCTTGTGGTGATGCGTGCTGATTTACCCGATTTACGTGTTGCAAATCAATCTTGATATCTGAAAAATTATATTATCGGGTAGTTAGCTACAGTATGTCATATAGCCTGAGTATCATATGACATACGTTGCGTATTACCATGCAAAGAAAAGAGAAGAATGTAGCATGCACTTATAGAAATCGAGCATGGTGGAATGATGTCCTTTATTACACGCTCTTTAGCTGAACTTTGCATCATTGGCCGTTAGATGGCACCACATGAGAGCGTATATTGCTTAATATGTGACACCTTTCTTTACACTTTTATGTAACCAAAAACAGATCTAAATAGTGAAAATATCGACATGCGGCAATATGTGCAATACTGCTGTGTAAGCTGAATCAATCTGACATTTTCTTTGAGATTTACGACTTTAAACAAGTCACGTGAGCATCATAACAACTTCGAAGTGAAATAAACTAGTTTAACTTAAAAGTAGATACTTCAACATAAAACAATCAACTGTGGTCTTTGACTTGCACATGGGTTACTAGTACATGCTCATAGTACTAGTACATACAGTAAATTCACACAAAATCATCGTATCTATTAGGAGGCTTTATCGCTCTTCCCTGGTGGATGGTGAGGAATGGCTTCACAGGGTCTTCAATATCTGGCTGTTCCTGCTCTAGTTCCTATCCCATATGATACCATGATCATCTGGCATGTCTACTCAAGGTAACACATATAATAATAATAATAATAATAATAATAATAACAATAACATATCAATAGGGGCCTGTGACTCCTTGGGAATCTCAGTTTCCTTCACACAAATGCTCACGATTCCTCCTGTAGCTTTTCCTATTCTGATTGACTAGGACTATGTAGGATCACAGGTGCTCATCCCTGGCCTTCACAGTTGCAGGTTGTCATGAATGTTCCTTTGCACAGTAGTCCAACAGGCTCAACCTGACACCAACTGTCGCAGCTCCTTAGCTTTCTTGTCGTACTCCTCTTTGTACCTCTACTGGCGTCTATGTAGCTAACACGTAGGTTACACCACTACTGGCTCCAACTGCTGTGGTAGAGCACGAAGCTTGGAGTGCAAAGCTCTGCTCATAATCATCTGAGCTGGAGAAAAATTCATCCCTGAGACTGGTGTATTACGATACTCCCTCAAAGCTATGTACGAATCTATCCCCTCTTTGGTAGCTTTCTTCAAATTCTTCTTCATGGTCTGCATCGCTTTGGTCATTTGACTGCGGGTAATGAGGACTAGATGTCCCCGGGGTGATGCCCCGTTCCCTGTCAAACAACGTGAAGGCTAGACTTTCAAATGGCATGATATCCATGTTCATCACTTCAGAAATGCAGTGCCTGCCAAATATTGATTTTAAGTAAATGACCACCCTTTCAGCTGCTTTGCTGTCCAGATGCGAAATCTCTTGGTAGTTGGAGTAATAGTTTGATATCGATAGTTTGCTAACATCATGATATCGGCCCTGATCTGCTGCTATTGCGTGTCTGGTACCGCGTGTATAGTATCAGTGGCTCCCCCTGGCTGCTAGGGCAAAACTTTTTCCATGTTGGGGCCACAATTAAAAAAATCTTTGTTTGCCCTCAACTGACCCAGGCTGAAAAGTTTGGGTAGGTAGGTAGGTAGGCTTTTTTCTTTTTTTGAGGGGGGTCTTTTTACAAATTCAGCATGGTGTCTACATGCTGGGGTGTGCTTGTGTGAAGATACCTTCAGTTTTATGTTGAATGTTTGTTTTGCTTGGTACACATATATATATATAATGTATTGCCTACAGATTTATATAATGTACAGTGAAACAATTTATAAAAACAAAGAATGGGAAAGATCTATAACAAAATTTGAGTTGGCCCCTTTTTGGCGGGTCGGTCGAGTGAGGGCAAACAAAACAATATTTTATTATGGCTTGGGCACTTACTGACAATCATCTCTATGTCCGATGGCATTCCAGGACAGTACAGAACTTACCCGGTAAACGACGTACAATTGTTAGCACCAGGGTGGCTTTCACAAACGTGACTTAGTATGTCTGCATGAACCTTAGACAGCACTACTATACAGTCTCCTAGGAAAATAATCTCCCTCAGTGACGTGTTGTCCCCATCTCTCGTGTCTCAGTCTGTCCGGACATCTAATGGGGCTTCATCTTTCTTTGCAGGGGCATCCTCGTAGAATGGAACGCGGCAGCTGCTACACCGTATAATTCTCAGCTGTAGTCACTTGAATCTTCTTTTGTCTGGAGTAGCAGCTAGGCTAGTTAGTAAGCTGTGAACTGTCACCTCAATGCCATCAGGTGCACCGCAGCTTGGATCACCTTTCATTTTCACTCCGGAGAACGTGCAAGCTACATACACGAACTTACCTCGGATGTATTGCACAGTGGAATTGTAACACTGAAGCTAAATCTTGTGTTGCAGTCTGGGTGAGGCTTTAGCTACGAGTTTCTTTAGTATTGACTCTAATGGATGGTGATCTGATTGAATCTCCGCTTTATTGTCGTAAATATACTGGTTAAGCTTCTCACAGGCGAAGCATGTAGTGACTAGTTCCTTTTCGAACTGGTGATTTTTATCTAAATAGTAGATACGAAGGCTATACAGTATTTCTTCTGTAATAAACATGACTGATCTGCTCTTATCTGCTACTTGCATTGTTTGTGCATTCTCAGACGTGTGACGACAGCAGTTTTGATCTTGCCAGTGTCCTTTCCTGCATATTAAATTTAACCTGCTGTGAGACAGTTAGCGCGGCTAATTAATCTGTAAATTGCCGACCTCTGCCGTGCGGCACAGATCTAAAGGCAAAAGCTTTTATTGGCGTGACTCAGAGGGACAATTCTAATCATGACTCACGACGGCATTTTGTCATGAATCAAATGTTTATTTTATCGCAGAACTTACACTTGAGTGGCTGTCTCTTGAGTTCAGTTGCCCATTGACCGAACGATTTGGATTTACCTTCACGGTTTATATTCATCAACTTCATGATCATGTTCAGGCCCGTAGCCAGCTTTCTATTGGGGGGGGTTCTATTATATCGTCTGCAAACGAGTTGAGTTACATTTCTAAAATTCATAAGGAATATAGACAAAATGTCATAGCTATAATGTCTGTTAATTTTCAGTTTTGAAGCACTATAGTCTAATTAATTACCAAATATATGCCGAACGGTATCGCGCATCAGCGCCTATTGCGGCACGCGCTATACGCACGCTTTGGGTGATAGAAAAGATACTAACTATTATATCTTCCAAAGGAGTTGAGTTACATTTTGGAAATCATAAGGAATAATAGACAAATGTCTTAGCATAATGTCTGTTAATTTTCAGTTGTTGAAGCACCATTAGTCTAATTAATTACCAAAATATATGCGAACGGTATCGCGCATAGCGCCTATTGCGTGCACCGGCTATTACGACGGCTTGGGTGAATAGAAAAGGATACTAACATTATATCTTCGCAAAGGCGAGTTGAGTTACATTTATGAAATCAATAGGAAATAGACAATGTCTTAGCTATAATGTCTGTTAATTTTCAGTTTGTGGAAGCACGATAGTCTAATTAATTACCAAATATATGCGAACGGCTAATCCGCCATAGGCCG